TGCAGAACAATAAACTAAAAAACATTTACCTCAACGTTATATCCAAATTCTTTACCAAATTTGAAATACAAATCAAATACTAAAAATAAATAATAATATTAAAAATTAGAAAAAATAAAACGAGAATTAAATTATTGAGTGGGCGAGCACGTTTTTGACACCGGCATCTTTGGCGATTTTTCATTTTTTTTTGGTTGTGTCAAATACCATGAAAATTTATATATGTGTATCTTACATAATAGAAAATCTATGAATAAAGTTTGAAAAAATAATAAATTATTTTATGCCCCGAATCAAAGGGAAAATAAAAAGTGAAAAAAGAAAAAAAACAAATTTGTGAGTGGGTAAGCAAGTTTTGACACCACAACCTTTAAGGATTTTTCATTTTGTTTTGGCTGAACAGAATGACTTCAAAATTAAGCCGGAGATACCTTACATCACAAAGAACACACAAAAAACAATTCAAAAAAAAATAATAATATTTGGGTGCCATACTATTTTTTTGCGGGGTTTAAACCCCTTCAAGTTTGGACCCCGTACAGGGACCCGAATGCCCCAACATTCGGGGGTCAGCTTAGGGGCCTCCATACGTTCGGCCTGGCAACCCTGAACCCGATAATATTATCGGTTTTATTTTTGCAGTATGCATAAATGACCCATTTTCATTGTTCTCCTGTGTACCAAACTGTAACCATTTTATTTTTTATTTTAAATTTGGTAAATAATGTCGATGCAATCCTGAGGAAAAAAATGTTGAGTTTATTGTTTTGCATAACATACTAGGGTACCATTCGGTCACTCGGGTCACCCTATTTTCCCGGACGGCCCGCTCGTGCAAGGACCAGGGAAAGTCCTAGCAAAAAATAATAATGATAATTAAAAAAAAAAAAAAAACCCTATGTTATGCAGAAAAATAAACTGAACAACATTTGCCTTAGGGTCACATCAAAATGTTTTACTATATTTAAAATGAAAAAGTAAAGTATAAAAATAATTTTTATTTTTTTATATATATATATCTATTTTTTGCCCATACAGGTAAGAGACGTCTAACCTTTCTCGTAGCTTGAATAACATACTAATTTTTCATATTTTTTTAGATTTTTTTCTTTTTTTAATGGCCGAGAAAAACGGGGGGGGTATAAAAAATATAGACAGTTATGTTTGCAAATAGCAAAAATATGACTTATAATATTATCGGTCTTATTTTTAAAATAACCGGGAACCACTTGCCCGAGAAGGTAAAAAAATAATTGTAATAATAATAAAATATATTTTTGTAGTTTTAAAAATTTGTAAAGAATTCGGATGTTACCACCAAACAAAAGTTGTCTAGTTTATTTTTCCGTGCAACATATACTTTTTCATAGTTTTTTTTTTCTTTGACCTTCTTTGGTTGTTGCACGACCAGGCCACCCGAGCAAAAAAGATGATTGGGGCGACCCGATAAGTAGCCTAATACTTTTGCATTTTATAAAAATTATGAAAAATAAAATTGTTTTTCCCTTTATCCCCCCGTCCTCGCTGCTCTCCCCCCACGGGCTCTGCCTTTCTCCTTCGCCCATGCCTTTTCACAACCCGCCTTCAATCATAAAATCCTTTCAAGTGGCCGATCTACGAGCGGGGAAAACTTGTCTATATACTACCCTACCCAGAATATCAAAAGATGAACTTCAAAAAGTCCTTTCAAGCCTAACAAGGGTTAACTTGAATATGGAATAATGCACAAGCGACTTCTCTATGCACCCCACCTACAGTGTCGGACTTCAGATATTTTTTTAATAACAAATAAGATTTGTGCCCACCATTTTAAAAAATAAACACTTTATTTGCTTTCCGTTTGATAATGTTAAAAAAATGTCAGTACGGTTTGAGTTATTTTATATTGCTCTTTTTCAGGGTTGCCAGGCTGAAAGTACGGGGGCCCCTAAGCTGACCCACGAACGTTCGGGCGTTCGGGTCCCCGTACAGGGGTCGACCTTGAAGGGGTTTGGACCCCCCAAAAAATATTATTATTTTTTTCTCAATTTCGTTTTGTACGTTTTTTGTGATGTAAGATATTTCCCTCTTAATTTTGAAGCCATTTTATTTAGCCAAAAAAAAAAAAAATCAGCGAACGTGGTGGTGTGAAAACTTGCTTGCCCACTTACGATTTTTTTTTTTTTATCTTTTCACTTTTTATTTTTTCTTTATTTTGGGGCATGAAAACAATTATGATTTTTTCAAACTTTATTTGTAGATTCTCTATTATGTAAGATACACATATACAAATTTTTATGTCATTTGTCGCAACAAAAAAAAAGAAAAATCGCCAAAGATGGCGGTACGAAAACGTGCTCGCCCACTTAATAATTTCATTCTCGTTTTATATAT